GGTTTTCCCCGCAGGCTGTTGTTCCCTGCATAGCACCCGCTTTGCCTGTTCTTCTTCTTCCTTCCCAATTGTCAACTGTCAATGAGTTTTCAATTGCCGCCAAGTTGCATGTTTGAAGATTTGTGTCCCCAACTGCATTTTTCTAAGCCGCCAATTGGATTGGTTTCACTTTGCTTGCTTTTGACAGTCCTCTTTTCCATTGACTTGTCAGTGGCAGGCGCTGAGCGTGGCACGTGGAACGTGGAACGCCAGCTAATTCGCCCGGCTTGCGGTTGGCCAAATTGTTTTGTTTTTGGCAGTCAGCAAAAATGGCCTTAAAGCTTCCTGCCCGTCGTCTAGACTCGCCCAGATTTTCAATCCATTTCCCTGTTGTTTTCGCTTGAATGCAGGTGTCCCTTACAATCGCGTGCTCAAGACTTTTTCTCACCAGAACTAAATGCAAAGTGCAGAGACAAAGTTGCGCCTATTTCCAGTTGTGTCATATACATTGGAATTTTGAACTTAACAAGCTTTGTTCAAGCCACTACCTGCCCTAGATTGTTCGCATGACTAAAATATATTAACTCTTGACGGACGTGTAACTATATATATGCAAATATATATTTCTAGTTATATGGCTCTGGCTTCAATATTGGCCAAAAATTACAGGACTGTAAAAACCATAATCCAATTGGATTTGCTGTGATTTTAGTCTATTTTGAAAATGAGATTTGTGCAATTTTTATAATTTTTTTTTATCGAATAATATATATAAAATATATAAATATAATTAAGTTTTCTTTAAAAATATTTAACTCAAAATAACATGAATAAACTCATTTGTTCGTAACTAAAAAATGGTCGAGTTAAAATTTTTGAAAATCTGTTTTATCCAAGGGAAAATAATATATATAAAAAATATATAAATATAAATTAAGTTTTTTTTAAATATATTTAACTCAAAATAACATGAACAAACTAATTTGCTTGTATCTAAAAAAGGTCGAGTTCAAATTTCTAAAAATTGTATCTGTCTTATCCAAGGGAAAATATTATATACAAAAAATATATAAATATAAATTAAGTTTTTTTTTAAATATATTTAACTCAAAATAACATGAATAAACTCATTTGTTTGTAACTAAAAAAAGGACGAGTTCAAATTTCTTAAAAATTCGATATGTCTTATTCAAAGGAAAACTAAGGTAATTGCAAACACGAGTGGCAATCAGTAAATAAATAGTAAATGTAATTTGCAGCTGTACCATATTCCAGTTATATATATATATATAGTTATATATTCTGTGTACATTGATATATCCAAACAAATATTGCTGAAATTTTGCATAGATATTGAATGGGGGCAGCTGCTGCTGCTGCTGTGCAAACAGTAGCAAAACATCTGTCGCTGGGCGTGCAGAGAAGAGGCCTACATTTGGATCTATTGTAACTGCTTATTGTTTGCTGCATCCGCAGTTCCAATTTCCAGAAATTTCGGAAATCCCCCCACAGCATACAAATGGGAAAAACGCCCAGCGAGTGTCACGTGAGTCGGCAACGGCCGTGCAAAAATTTTCAATTGAAAGCATTGATGAGTCTATATCTTTGCTTGATTTTTTTTCTCGGTTTTTTTTTTTTATTTTCGTTTTGCGTGCATGGCTGTGGCAGCGCTGCCAGCGGGCGGTTTGACAATGGGCGAAGCAGGAGTCTGAGCAGGAGTCTGAGCGCAAGGACAACGGCAGAGGCCTTGTGCCTCGTGCTGCGGCTTTTGTTGACATTCGCGGGTGGGAGTGTGTCTGTGTGTGTGTCGCCCACGTAAAAGCAATTAATTGGAAAAATGTGCAAATAGAGCTGTGCAGGTGGCGTCTGTTGACTTAACCTCCATTGCATAAAGCTCGACTTTTCCAGTGCCTGAGTAGCTCCAGTGTGCCACAGACAATCGTTAATCGCTGTTAATAGACCCGTACTTAAGCATATGCATAAAGAACGAAAGGAACTAACTGCTCTTAACAATATACGAATGCCATACTCTAGCCAACTAGGTGTCATTATCTTATATTATATATAGTATATATCAATGGTATCTTTCCAACTATCATATTTGAGGTAAACTTTATTCCAATTTAATTCAGAATCCATTCATTAAAAAATTCCATAATACTTTAACCTTTTATTAAACAAAAACTTAATCTGCTCTATATTATGTTTTTCTTTATAGATTATTGTATTCTAAAATAGTTCAGCTCATATAAGGGTATTCGCAATTCGGTTGGCGGGCATTGCTTGGCCGCATTTCCACAACCTCTCGCGGCAAGTGAAAATGCAGTTGGAATAACTTTTAGTCGCTGTCAATGGCTTTTGTCTCGTGACGCAACGAAACTTTTCTAATTAAGTGGCAACGCCGTGGAGGCGAACTGGACAGAGGGTGGCCACTTGCCTTGGCTTATGCGCCGGCATTACAATAAACCGTTATGGGGCGCTTTTAATGACCAGTTGGCGCTGCATTTCGCTAGTTAAGGAGAGGGCGGAGGGAGTGTTGGGAGGAGTCGGCGTGTTAATGGTTATCGTTGTTGTTGTTGTTGTAGCTGCGGTTGCCCGGCATTAGTTACAAAATGTCGTTAGCCAAATTATTTGCCATGTTGGCGCAAAATTTTTTATGGTTTTATCATGAGAGCGGGCGGGAACAGAGGCCAAAGAGAGAGAGAGAGAGAGAGATTCAGAGTGCAGGACTAATTGCAGTTGAAATTTTGTTTTATGCGTGCGCGGCACATCAAGTTTTATATGTTGTGTCGCATTCATTTAATGGGGCATGGCTGTGGGTAGGCGCAGAGGACACAGAACGCTTAAGCGATATAATTAACTAGAGCTGATTACGATAGTGCGCCAGTGCAATGCAAATAGTGACCTTCTAAGTGCGGTAAATGCTGTTAACTGAATTGTTAAACAAGTTAAGGAGTTACGCAGGATACTTAAACTTTATTTAAAAAGATTGTGGAACCGGGCGAATCACAGAAAGGAGTAATTGTGCCTTATCAAATTCAGTAACTGAATGTGAAATTGTATTGACCAAACTTTAACTTAATGTACGTTTAATGAAGGAATAAGCTGAAGATAGTTTGATGAAAATGAAAATAATCTTTGATTGTGCTGCATTCGAAGGTATCATAAATTACTCCATTAATTCACATTCGACGGCTGCTCCCCTGCTGACCATCTATAGAGGCTGCAGCGTAGAGCTAACCGCTAGCTGTTGTAGAGAAAGCCACAAGACTTTGCAAAACATTTGCTTCAATAACAGAATACATAGAATACGTAAACAATTCAACGTGAACACTGAAGAGTTTCGGCTTGAGCTTCGAGCATATTGAACTTTTGTATACCCTACATTTTTTAAGCTGAATATGCTGTGCACATTGAACACTTTTTCCAACATTTTCTAGCTTAAATTCATTTCAATATATAGTATATTCGCCAATGAATTATGGGGATAAGAACTAAGCATTCTTATTGATATTTATGAATTAATTATAGAGTTGTCTTCTTTGCTTTTCAAAGCCTTTTTCTAGTTTGTTTCTGTTTCAGATAGAAAAGAGTGAATTAACTTTGAAGCTATCTGGTGTCCTACTAAGTGCACAATGCTTGTTCAGTAGTCAAAGCTGCTCTGTTCTACTCACAATTTGTTGTTTTAGTGTTTTTATTTTACCTCTACATTGGTTTCGATTAAAGTGCGGAGGGTTGGGGTATATAATGCTGTTGTTGTTGCTGTGCTGCTGCTGTTGGAATTTATATTATTGCATACCAGGGCCAGAGACTGGCTGAAATGGGACGCAGCAGTTCAGGCCAAACGGTTGGCGGGGCAGAGACCAACAGGAGTTTGTAATATTAAGGCAACACGCTATATTTGCTCTTCTGTACCTTTTGTTGCTTTTTTTTTGGATTGATATTTGTGGCTGGCAATTGTTGCGCTCTAGACTAGAGTTTTCGTGTGGCTGTGCCGCGATTTTCAAATTTGTATTGCATACTTTTTGGCATTGTTAACTTTTATGCTACGACTGCATCTGTGTACTGCTTGGCTGACTTATTTATGAGGCTTTCTTCAGCTGGCACTCGATTGCGTACCACCTGTGCAAGGTAAACTCTTCACTTGCCTTCTTAAACATTTATTTACAGCTGAGCCCCATTTGTCCATCTTTATGTTGACATTTGCAACTTGAATCGAAGCATGCTTCTTGTTGCCTATGATATATTGAGATATATAATGAAACTGATGTTGATCTTTTAACCTATAAGGTTATTATTATTGAGATTGTGCAGGATGAGCCTAATTTAATAATCATTGATAATATATTAATAATCATCGATAACTTGCTTCCTTCCTAAGATTTACGAGTACTTTGTAACACATCAATCTAGAGGATAATTTATATGATCACGGTTATTAATGCAGTAATGCGGATAGATTGTGTGTGCTGCATAAGTACATATATTTGTATTTGATTTCCTTAAATAAAGAGTGTTAATTGTATTGGCCACAGTATATGTCTACCATTACCGTTACAATTAGCTTCAGTTTCTTAAGCATATAATAGCTGATTATCAATTCATTTTAAGCCATGAAATTTTTTACAGTTATTTTAGCTCACGTCACGCTCAATCAGAACTTTCAAAAAAATGCTGAATATTCCAAAAAACATTTAGAATAATAAAGATGATTCTATAAATCAAATGAATATATATAGCATTGGCTTTAAATATGACTTGAATTGTGTGTTGGGCATAGTTGGGCCAGAGAGAACCATATCTCCATGTACATAAGTTGCCTAGTTAAGCAGTATTCGTATGTGTCTGTGTGTACTTGTTTGTTGGCTGGTTGACATTTGCAACGTCAACTTTTCTGTTGGGAGGCTTTTGGACTCTTCATTTCGATTTTTCAGCTTAAAAACTCATTCATCAATTAAATCGAGGCATTCATCAAAACAATTTCTCCCATGTCGATGTCAACATGCTCCCAATGTGGTGACGCACGACAGGATCATGACGATGGCAGTGCGAGTTCTTCTCATGCCCTTGGTTGTTGTTGGCATCATGTTGTTGTTACCTCTGCTGTAGCCTGAGTTCGTATTCATTTTTGTTTTTGGTTTGCTGCTGCCTGCAGCCTTTTTATTAATTGACATGAGGACTTTGAAGGAAGTTGGAGAACTTTTTGAAATCTTTCTGCTAAATAAATCTATCGTTGAGGAAATATTTGTTCTGAAGTTTGCACTCATAGTGGAAGGTCTTCGTCATGTTCTAAGCGTATTTTTGTTATTTGTAACGCAAGGGATTAAAAATTGAAATGTTAAGAGATTAGACTGAATTTCAAAGATTAGATATAAATAAAAATTCTTATATATATATATAAATATAAATTCTTACAGTGTTCCGTTTTCCCAAAAAATGCTGTAATTAAAGATTGTTAAGATATTATTTTAATTGTGGCTATAGACTTAATCTAATAGGTTCTAGAAAGTTATTAGAACTCTTAAGTTGCTTTCATTTGCCTCTAGGCAGCTATGAAAACTAAAGTTTTGCTTTTGCTTTCCGCTTTTAAGATATATTTTCATTTTTGCCCACGGTGAGAGTTTCATTAATTTTTTTTTGCACACATTTTCTCGTAGACAACTAAACACTCGGCTCTTAATTGCTTTTTCATGCCACAAAGCATATTTAATACTCGACCATTGACAGGTCGCCACTGACAGCAGCTGTCAGCTATGTTTTGGTATGCACGGCAATTTGATGGCGCTCAACAGTCAAAGCTCTACCGACCGCGCACCGCCCACCAACCACTGGCCACGCACAAGCCCACATCCGCGACACGTTCACGTCCAGAGCCTGCAAATTGCTCATTTCAAGGCTAATTTGTCAGCATAAGCAACAAGAAGAAGCAGACATGAGGCGGACATTGGCAATAAGTCGAATAGGGGTGAGGCAGCTGCCTTAGCAGCCCCAAGGCGAAGCCAACTGTTGTCAGGTTGCGCTGCGACAGATGCAAATGCCCGACGCGCTTCTCAGTATGCACTTAATTACGCCTGAATGTCAGCTAAATAAATTTATTTACATAATTTTAATTAAACACAAAAGAGCGAACAAGATCAAAAAATAAAAGAACGAGACAAGCCAAACTGTCAGAAGTTGAAATCAAAATCCAGCCAAAAGTCAGCCCGTCTGTCTGTCAGGGTCAAGGATGTGTCTGCCAAGGTGTCAGGCGAGCAGGCAGCACCTGTGCCTGTTCGAGGGGAGTTCTCTCACTTTTCCCTTTGTGTGTAGGTGTGTTTGCTGTGCATTTCGGTGTGCTTAACGAGATAATTAGATTGTTATTGTGGGTGGGTGACTGTCGCTCAGCGTTTCTTTTATATGACATTTCTTTTTTCTCACTCGCTGTTGTAGTTGTTGTTGTTTGTGGGGGCTGTGTGCGTCACCCTCGCGTTGAGTGTGGTCCGTGATTTTCAATATGCCAGGCAGGTTAAATATACAACGTAGACCATCTAAAGCCTGTATGCCTTTAATGCTATTGTTGTTGTGGTTTGAAGTTGCGGCAAATTGGGGTGACAAACCTCATTAATTACAAATGACTTCATTCCTTTTGTACATAGATATCGAGGGAGTCTCTGAGGTGTAAAGACTCGGCAGCAGCGTGACAGGCTTTGTCAACTTCGCAGCATGGCCTGGGGTCCAAGCATTAAAGTTCTTCATTCACATTGCGTAAACGAGAAATGGCGCCAATTATTTAATCAGATTAAGGAAATCAGGTAAGCATCACATTAGTCTATTTGTTACCGAATTCAATAAAAGACTTAAAATTTCAACTATAAATATATTAAAATAAATAAATTAGTTTAATACCATAATTTTCTTCATGTTTCAATTTGTACTAAATGTAAATATATATATATATTTATGAGATTTGCTAAGTTTTTTTTATAAATTATAAAATATACTTGAAGATTTGAGCTCCATTTCTTCACTTAGATCGTATGCTGTATAAACATTTTCCATTTGGTGGCAAAATTGATGCCCAACCTGTTCCCCAATTTACATAAAACTATTTTTTCTATATTAAAAAACAATTTTTATGTGCTCATTTGATTTATTTCCACATCACACTTATTTTTCTCCGCATCCGGGTGGGTCCTTATCGAACATGACTGCTAATACAGCAGTCTTACTTAGTTTCATTATTTAATAATCGAGTTGAACATTGTGAATTGCTGATCAGCTTTTATACTACTCTGAGACTGGATCTAATTGTATTGGTAATGGTATACATACACTGGGCCAATCCAATTAGCACGCATAATTTAAGGAAACCAAATACATATATATGTACCTATGTAAGGCATCAATATGAATAGCGATGGCCTTGAGGTGTTTGTTTTTTTGTTTTCAATGCATCTTTGTGACACCGAAATGTGTAAATATGCAAATGCATTAACTTCCAACTTTGGAATGCCGAAGAAAATGTGGAATACTCGTAACTTACACAAACTTAAGTATAGTCTTTATACTAAATATAGTAACTGGTTAAATGATAATTGATTTTATTTAATGAAGTTATCGATGAACACACTGACTTTACATGAGAAATATATATTAGATAAGATATCCAATTACTGACTTATTCTATATATATAATAAAACTGAAGAGCTAAGTATCAGTTTGTCGAGCCTATCTAATATCTTACACCTATGTCAAGTAAAGTCAGTGTGTTCATCGATAACTTTAAGAATTTTTATGACTTCATTAAATAAAATCAATTATCATCCAGTCATTCCAGTCATTCCAGTCATCAACCAGTTATTCCGCATTCCAAAGTTAATGCATTTGCATATTTACACATTTCGGTGTCACAAAGATGCATTGAAAACAAAAAACACCTCAAGGCCATCGCTATTCATATTTACGTGTACTTTGTGTACTTTGATGTATTCCATAAGTACATATATAAGTATTTGGTTTCCTTAAATTAGGCGTGCTAATTGGATTGGCCCCAGTGTATGTATACCATTACCAATACAATTAGCTCCAGTCTCCTTAGAGTAGTATAAAAGCTGATCAACAATTCACAATGTTCAACTCGATTCTTAAATAATGAAACTAAGTATAGTTATTCTTGCTGTATTAGCAGTCATGTACGAATGTAACATACCCCGATTGGGAAAAAAATAAATGTGATGTGGAAATAAATCAAATGAGCATATAAAAATTGTTTTGTAATATAGAAAAAATAGTTTTAGGTAAATTGGGGAACAGGTTGGGCATCAATTTTGCCACCAAATGGAAAATGTTTATACAGTATATATATATATATTTATATATTAAATATATATAAAATACTACACTGGGAAAGTTGGCATAACTTGATAGAATTATACGCAATGCATTCAGTTGGCTTGACTGCAAACATCTTTGGGGCAAGGATATCAATTAAATGGCTTGGACTGGCGGAATGCCGTTCCCTCTTGGCTCTTTTTTGGGTTTCGAGTTGGCTTTCGGATCGTCGTTGGGGCTGCGCTTTGGCCAATGAGTCGAGCTCCCCAGTTGCATATAAATTGCTCTATGAGTGTCGCCGCCAAATACATTGCAAATGTGACAAATATGCATTTGGCAACGATAAATTTTATGACCGCAGTCACTGGCGGCAGCCACCAAAAATATTTCACAGCCCCGAAGGCGTTGGCCCCGCCCTCAGCCCCTTGGCCCCATCCTTTGGGAATGATCCTCTACTGTTGGCTATGCAGGCTGCTCACCATATTCATATAAATATAAATTAGCATATTTTGTGGCGTCAGAGCGGCGGCTGCAACTTGCACACATAAGCACACAGACGCACACAGCCACACACACACACATGCACATGCACACAAATGCATTCGTAATTAAATTGTCGCCAGCCAAGCTGCATGCCAACAACAAGCCAAATAGAAAATAAAAATAGAAAAAAAATATATTTAAAAATGTCGTTCGTTAGATTTTATTGCCATTGTTTGTAATTTAATTTGCTGATTTATGCAGGCAACTCAATCACAATTAAAAATGCCAACTGCGCTGATTTGTTGGCCTTGTTGGCGTCACTTTGTTTATGCCAATTTATGATGCTCGGCGTGATGCCTGATTATTGCCAATTAGCCGCAATTGTTTTTGCTAGTGCCAACAACTGGTCCCGCGGCCCAGCCAAGGGTTAATATGCCCAAAACTAAACCATCCCAAACATCCAACTAATCATTGAGTGAGTCAACAGCAAGCTCTGTGGATTGGCATCGCACCCAGCGCATGCGTCAAAAGTATCGCAAAACTCTGGTTGGAGGACTCTATACTGGAGAAGTGCTCAAGAGCGGTTCACTGGCATTCAGTTTGAGTGAAATCGTTAAGAGTATTTCTTGGCATGACGTCATATGCATATAAAGCCATATTATTAACATACATAATATAACATTTAAAAGAAAATGAATTTTTAAATATTTATTGTAATTATATGGATTGAAGAAGCTAAGAGAAGGCTGCATTCACAGGTCATTCAAATTAGTTTGCCTTCCTGATCAAGAATATATATATTATATTTATGTCAATCTGTTTTTAGAACGTCAATTTAAAGTAAGCTGGCGATGCAGTCCCATTAAAAGGCAACACGAAATATTCAATGCAAATTGACTTATCACACTTTTTTCATATTGCATTATTCTGATTCATAACTGGCCTGAAAGCCTTGAACATAATACAAAGTATACCAATCAGTTTTAAATATTTAATTCTTTCTCTCTTGTAGTTACTTCTGGGAGACTACTCCTTTTATGGGAACAGATCTAATTGCATTGGCAATGCCAGTGGAGCGTATTATTCATAGGTCAAGGTTAAATGATCGCTGGTTCCGGTAACGTTACAGTTGACTAACTTCCTACTTATATAAGCCTTTACAGAACGGCCTTTGGACCTACCTGTGTTTGTAACGAAGTCGATGCAGGTGCTAAATTCGTTAGGCTATAATGTATGTCTGCTTTAAAACTATTTGTTATTATAAAAAAAGGTACGCTTATCAAGCAGAGTGTAGAAATGATGATGATGATACACATAATTCTGGGCACGTTC